CTGTGAAATAAATGAGTGGTTGAAAATAAAAGTAGATTTAAGATGGGTTAACTCATGTTAATAATGTCAAAATTAGCCTCTTAAAAATGGGATGAAACTAAGATGCACTATTGACAAAATAATCTATGTATAAATACTATCTATGAAAAATATGTGACACTTACGAAGGGTCATTAATGACAGTCTTCAACGCATTGAGCAAATCTGTACTTGAAATAGTGTTGAAGTCCAATCTGACAGCTGCTCCCTTGGTCTTCATGTGAGCAATGTTATCAGGTTGATCCGCAAACATAGGAAGGCCCACCATAGGGATCCCATGGTAGATCGCCTCATAGATGCCATTGATTCCACCATGAGTTATAAAGGCTTTGGTTTTTGGATGACCTAGGATTGGGTGAATTTCAGCAAATTTTGTATTATAAATCTTGGAATAAAATGAGAGTTGGGTAATAAAGGCACAGAGACAATATATTTAGCAACAGATTGGTCTACACTTCAGAATGTATTAAAATGTCTTTCAGAACTCTTAGGAAGAGGCACCTAAGTCTGCTGGAGAGGCAGTGAAGGCTTACATAGAAGATTAGTGTGTTTCTTTTGACTTGAAATGAATACAAGTTGCCAGTGGGCAAATTGAAAGAGAATATTCTGGTTTTAAAAAGTATATGAAAAAAAAGTGGTGGTGCATGTTGAAATATATTCTCTTAATAAAATAGTGAATCACAGAGTGTGATGTGTAGATGTCAAGGCAACAGACAATGGGATGTAGGCAGTGGCACAGGAATCAGAGGAAGGAAAAGCTACACATTATCATGAAATATGTTATTATGCCCTAGCTGGTTTGACTCAGTGGATAGAGCGTCAGCCTGCGGACTGAAGGGTCCCGGGTTTGATTTCGGTCAAGGGCACATGTCTGGGTTGTGGTCTTGATACCCAGAGGGGTCATGCAGGAGGCAGCCAATCAATTATTCTCTCTCATCATTGATGTTTCTATCTCCCTTTCCCTCTCCCTTCCTCTTTGAATTAAACAAACAAACAAACAAACAAAAGAAAGAAAGAAAGAACTGGGAAGCAGTTAGCTGCTCTTTAAAAAAAAGAAATATGTTATTACTTCGGAAAGGGATATTAAATTTTTTCCCAATGGAAAACGGAGAGTCACTGGCAATAAAAGAGGAGTGGATATTTTTCAGGGGCACCTGTACACCCTTATCGTGGATTAAACGATTGGTATAAGGAGAGAATTAGGAGGCAGAGTGACAATCAGAAAGGTGTTGAGATATTCTCTCTGAGAGGAATTACATATGAAATAAAGATCTTTTGTTTGTGGCCATAAGGAACATGGCTGTGTAACATAAGATGCCAACTTATAGCTTATCCTTTTCCCCTAGGACTGGGAAAGAAATATTGGGAAGTTCATTTTTATCTTTGAGTTTTTCAGTAAGAAATGACCAATACGTTTCTATCCTAGTGAACTGTTTATCATTCTGGTTGACTTGATTCTGATTTCAGGGTTTTCCAGAATCTTACCAAGAAGGTCATTCTGGGGGATCCATTTATAGAGCCGGGTATTTGGCCCTAAGGTATCTGGTTTTTTGCCATCATATCTCCATATAACCTGTTAGGGTAAAGAAGGTTATATATTACGTGAGTCAAACTGCAGAGTCTATGCATTTATTTTAATTATTTATTATTCTAGCTGTCATCATCTAGATTTAATGTTAACCTGTTTATTTCTTTTTGAATGATGGGGAAGTGGTTTTATTATATTCACTAATTTCATAAAGTATCTTAGAATTTTACATAATTTGATTTACAAAATCAAGGCAATCAGCTATTTGTGAGAATTAAATCATTTTGATATTTAAGTTTATTATTAATAATAAGTATAGTAAATAATGTCTGCTTAATGAGTATATTTAACTTCTTTTAGTTTTCTACTTATTAATCACCACTTCCAAGTGGTAATTTTTACCTAAATCCAGTATTATCACTCTAGCTAGGATTGAAAATTTTCTTAAAATGTAGAAAAGAAAAGCCATTCGCACTTTATAAATAATAGTTTACCTGTTGAAAAGATCAAATATGATGATGACGGTAAATTTTTTTCATCTGATTGTTAATATTTCACAACAGGCTACAATGCACTGACAGCATTAATTAACATGGTTAATTAATTATAAATAGCCAAGCAATTTATAAGTCTACCAGTGAGCTGGATTCTAGTTTATACGTGGTTAACACCTTTTTGCTATGTGAGTGTTAAAGTTACTTCAGGTTCTCAGTAAACTTGCGTAGGTGATAGGAGAAAGCTACATTAGTTAGTAAGCTAAAAGTAGCTCACAATTATCTGGAGACTTCAAATGTATTTTATGTATTAGAATAACTCACTACCATAATTTATGGAGAAGGGGGAGAATCTGAAACTGGGCCACACTAGGCTTGCTTCTGATTGATTTGTTCCTCCTCCTCTTCTTTCTCATACTCCTCATCCATCATCATCATCATCATCATGTTATTATTCTGATGGGTTGTTTTGGGGCCACATTTTATAAAACACTGGGTCACCTTGAGGGCTGGACCCACCTACACCCTTCTTTTATGTCTTCCTGCTTCAGAATTTAGCAGGGCCCAGCCCACCAGAGAGGTTCTCTTTTCTTTTTTTCACACCAGATTTTCTCTTTCTTTAAGTCATTGTGGCTGGCTTAGGTACTGGATGCAGCTTGGTGAGCCCTGCATATCCCTAGTCTGAATATCACCTTGCAACACTGAATAGGCCTAATCCAAAATTCAGGGAAAGTAGGAGAGGCCTGGATTACCTGGCAAGTGTAAACTCTATGATGCCTTTCAGATTGTTATCATTCCCTGGTTAATGTTAAAATTTAACTCCATTCTCAGAACATCTGTAGTGTGTACATTATTCTAAGAATCCTGCAAGGAATTAAGCAAATGAAAGGATAGAATTTGGTGATATTTATTCCTGCCCTATAATCCTATATAATAAATCTTAATACGCAAATCAACTGAATAGCCGGTAGAATGACCGGTCACTATGACATGCACTGACCACCAGGTGGAGATTTGCAGTGGTGGATAGGGGCGGGGCTGGCCAGTGGGTGGTGCCAGGCCACTAGTCAAGGTGGGTGCCACTGTGGCCCCCCAATGGCTCCACCCGCTGGCCGCCCCACAGATGGCCCTGATTGCTGGCCAGGCCTCACTTATATTCTGGGAACAGTCTCTTAGATTTAAAAATTAAAACCAGGCAAGGCTACTCTAACACTGAAAAAACAGGATGATGCAGCGAAGACATGCATGGACTCTGGCTTGCACATTTTGTGGTCAGCCCTGATTCTGAGACTTATAACTGTGTGACAAACCCAAATTTCTCTCTGTTTCAGTTTTTCCACCCATAAGATGGGGAAAATGCTATTGCTGCCTCAGAAGGATCTGTTATGTGCTGCATTTTATAATCAGGTAAAAAAAATGTAGCTGTCCATACAACAGCAAGATGCTTTTCACCTGTATGAAAAGTATGGCCACTGGTGCATGCGGCGTCCCAGATTGCAAGAGGGATGTCCAATTGCCGATTTAGGCCCAACATCTCCGAAGGGGTCCCCGATTGCAAGAGGCCACAGGCTGGGCTGAGGGACACCCCAACCCCATGCACGAATTTTGTGCACTGAAACTTTAGTACTATTATAATACCAAACTTCACACTGTACTTTTGAAATATACTTCTTTGTGACCAGAATATTAATGCCAAAGTTATTGTCCATCAAAAACACCCTCTGTATTACTTTAGCACTTGCCATGTGTATTTTGTTTTACAAATTGGTATCTAAGATCATTGAAGCTATCTTAATACTTTAACTTTCATGTAGAAATTTTTTAATCAGACACTTTAACACACTCATTAGTTTTCTGCTCTAAGATAGTTTATCTAACCTTTTGAGGAACCTGGGCAAGGGCTGATGCAATCACATTGGCTCTTTCTTCTGTCATGTTAGTGACCATCGACCCCAGGGAAAACACCACGATACCATTTTCTCCAGAGCTCTGGACAAACTCTTCCATTTCCTGTGAAGGAAGAATTTTTTCCATTACAAAAGACAATAGCATAGTGAACACTATTGAAGGGATTGCTACAAACAGCCAAAGAGAAAATTAAGTATCATAAGGAATTATTAGTGTAGTTCTTGTTATTTTAAATTGTGTTAAAATACATATAATATACTTACCATCTTAACCATTTCTAAGTGTACAGTTCAATAGTATATATATTCTTTTTGTTGTATAATCCATCTCCAGAAATTTTTCATCTTATAAATTGATACTGTATATTTCTTAAACTGTAATTCTCCATTTCTCATTTTAACAGTCCCTAACAATTATCATTCTTCTTTCTGTTTCTATGAATTTGACTAGTCTAAATCCCTTAGGTAAGTGGAATCATGCAGTATTTGTGTTTTTGTCTGTGGCCTATTTCACTTAGCAAAATGTCCTTAAGATTCATACATGTTATAGCAGGTGTTAGAATTTCCTTCAATTTTAAGGCTTGGTAATGTTCATCTACAGATACCCTGAGCCACCAGAAAGACAAATAGGTCCTAGAGAAGGGGTGGGCAACCCCTGGCACGCGTGCCAAACATGGCACACCAGTAACTTTTGCTGGCATGCAAAACCCTCTCTTATAATCTTCCATTTACAATTTTTTTCTTAATATCGACTTTTTTATTTTTCAGATAAATTCAGTGTAGGTGCATCTTAGATAAATAATTTTAAATAACAAGTTATCTTAAAGACCATAGACATGGATTGACGAGAGAGGGGAAGAGTAATTTCTATGCCTCTGCCTTAACTTTTCCTGCCTTCCTAGATCTGACCCATGTTTTGGTTTCAGCCTCAGACGCAATGGGTTTTCATTAACCGCCTCACCTACTTATTCAGAATTTCACTCTATAAAAATGAAACCTTCTCTTTCGCTTTGCCCACCGGTACTAACAAAAGGGGAATAAATTTCTATGTTTCTCTCAGCAGCAAAAGTCCCACTGATAATATCAAACGGAATCATAAAGTTTTCTGTTGGACTATCAGTGTACATGTATACATTCTGTCAAACTACAGCGGGAAGGCTGGGGAGGGTTGGGAGGGGAAGGGGATGGGTACGAGATCAACAGAAGGATTTGTATGCACGCATATAAGCATAACCAATGGACACAAGACACTGGGGGGTATGGGAGGCTAGGGGAAGGTCAAGGGGAGAAAAAAAAAAGAAGACGTATATGCTGGGAAAAATAGAAGGCAGCAGGAAGGAGGATGATCAAATATGAGATGAATTGACTCCATAACAGAAGCCATAGGCATGAGTCTAAAAGAGTTGATAGAGCTGTTAAAACTAGGATTTTGTGGCCATCACTCATTCAAAAGTTCCTCAGGAGTCAGAGCTGACTCAGCACATAACACATAATATACCGTTGTGTGTATTGATTGTTATTGATTTATCTATCAATGGCGCTTGGGTTGATTTTATCTTTTGGCTCTTGTGAATAGTGTTATGAATATGATTCTAATGTCACTATTTTGGAATATACCCAGAAGTTCTATTGCTGGATCAAATGATAATTGTTTTTATTTTTTTGAGGAACCTCCAATTCTCTTATAATCGGTAGCTGTTTTGAAGAGACCTAATCCCTTAGTTTTTTTGGAGTATACAATTGATGAGCTTGAAATCCCTTATTATATACTGTTGGCCCAGTTCACAGATTCGTGCACATTGAAAGGAAATTAATTAGAAAGTGGGGTGGGACTTGGCGAGACAGGCTGGGAATACCCTGGAGCCAAGTTCCTGCGGTCCCCTCCCCAGCCGGCCACACCTGGGGTGGTGCTGCGGCTCAAAGGGTATCTGAGGAATGAGTGGGTATCCCTCCAGCTGTCGGGGTCCCTCAGCCTGGCCTGTGGGGATGAAGCTGAAATTGGCTCTCTGACATCCACTGAGGGGTTCCAGAGTGTGAGAGGACACTCTCCACAGTTGCTGTCATACAGGGTGTGGAATGCAAACACAAGGGTGCAGTAAACCAGATTCGGGGCTGCCAGTGCCCCAGCAACAACATAACCCATGGCTGAAGGTGGAATCACGTTGCCCCGCAAAGAATCAATCTCCCTCCTCTCTGGTTCTGGGGTGTGTCACCTGAGAACCGAGAACCGTCACTGCCAAGTCACTGCAGCTTGGTAGCTCTTGTGTCTTTAATATCTATTGGTCGGTAGGTATGATGTGTACTGACCACCAGGGGAAAGATGCTCAATGCAGGAACTGGGCTCATGGCTCATGAGCACAAGTGGTGGCGGAAGCCCCATGGGGAGCAGACCTAAGCCTTCAGTCAGACATCTCCTGAGGGCTTCCAGGCTGGGAGAGGGCGCAGGCCAAGTTGAGGAACTCCCTCCCCCACCCCCACACCTTGAGGGAACTCTAGTTAGTTTATAATTTGTATCTATAAGTCTGTTTTTGGTTGTTTTTTTCTTTTGTTTTGTTTTAGATTATACATATAAGTAAAATCATATAGTATTTGTATTTTTTTGTCTGATTTATTTAACTTAACATAATACCCTCTAGGTCAGTGATGGCGAACCTATGACACGTGTGTCAGAGGTGACACGCAAAATCATTTTTTTGGTTGATTTTTCTTTGTTAAATGGCATTTAAATATATATAATAAATATCAAAATATAAGTCTTTGTTCTACTATGGTTGCAAATATAAAAAAAATTTCTATATGTGACACGGAACCAGAGTTAAGTTAGGATTTTTCAAAATGCTGACACGCCAAGCTCAAAAGGTTCGCCATCACTGCTCTAGGTCCTTCCATGTTGTTGCATTTAGCAATATGTGATCCTTTGATATTGGTGAGTAATTTTTCATGGTGTGCATAGACTGCAAGGATTTTACCCATTTATCTATTGATGGACACCAAGGTTGCTTCCATATCTTGGCTATTGTAGTTAATGCTTAATGAACATGGGAGTGTATATATCTTTTCAATTAGTGTTTTTGTTTACCTCTGATATATACTCAGAAGTGGAATTGCTGGATTGTATGCTATTTTATTTTTAATTTTTTTGAGGAACCTCCATACTGTTTTCCATAGTGGCTCCAGCAATTTACAAACTTGCTCCATACACAGGAGTTCCCTTTTCTCTACCTTTTTGACAACACATTTTATTTGTTGACTAATTTCTGGATATTTATTTTGTATTCTGCTACTAAATTAATTTGTCAATTCTAGTAGTTTTTTGTGTGGAATCTTTAGGGTTTTCTATATACTAGTACAGTATCATGTCATCTGCAAATGGTGACAATTTTACTTCTTCATTTCCAATATAAATGCCCTTTATTTTTTTCTCTTACCTGTGATTGCTCTTGCTAGGTCTTCCAATACTATGATGAATAACAGTGGTGAGAGTGGGCATCCTTGTCTTGTTCCTGATCTTAGAGGAAAAGCTTTCAGTGTTTCACCACTGAGTATCATATTAGCTGAGGGTTTGTCATATATGGTCTGTATTTTGTTGAGGTACTCTATTAATTGGTAGAATTAAATGTTCAGTAGAATTTGTGAAATCATCTGGTCTTAAACTTCTGTGTGTTGAGAGTTTTTTTTTTTTAATACTATTTCAATTTTCTTGCTAGTAATTGATATGTTAAGTTTTCATGCTTCTTCCTGGTTCATTCATTGAAGGTTGTATGTTTCTTGTATGGCTCTTTCTCTGGAGATTTTTCTATTCTTTCATTTGGGGCCTGTTCTTTTGTCTCCCTATACTTGCTGCCTCTTTGTGTTTGTTTCTATGTATTAGACCAACTTGCTTTGACTCCGAGTTTTGTGAATTCCCTCATTTGTTTTACTTTCTTTGTTTATTTCTAAGAATTAGATGAAACAGCCACCTCTCCTGAACTTGATGGAGTGGCTTTGTGTAGGAATGACCTTTGTGTAGTCTGTGTGTGCGGGGTGGCTTCAGCAGCCTGGCTGGAATTGAAGTGGTTGTTTGAGATATCAGGGGTTCCCTGGCATGTAGGCTAGCCACAGTTGAGGCAAACATGACCAATTTTATCAGGATGCCCAGCCTTGGGGGCACCCTGGTAGGCTGGATGGCTGGTTTGGAGCAGCCAGTGGGATATGGCTGCAGCATTGCCATGGCAGTTTGTCTGTCTGAGCCTGGGGTTGGTGTGGGGTGAGTGGCTTAGGGCGCGCTATGGTGGCCTTGCAGGTGAGCTACAGCACTTGAATTGAATTCTTGCCCATGCTATCAGTGGAAAGAGAATGTAAACATTGGCACTCACAGGTACCTCCAATCCCAAAGAGTTTCCACAGAGTCTGGAGAGTTCTCACAGCCTCTCAACCTTCTCTACAGAGTCTCTCTCTCACAGTCTCTCTCTCATTTGTTGTGCAGAAGCTGTTCCGTCAACCCTCAGATGTTTTTCAGGAGGAAATGCTCTTCATGTAGGTGTACATTCTGAGTGTTCATGGGAAGGTGTCAGTTCAGGGTCTTCCTATGCTGAAATCTTGGACCTCTCTCCCTAAATCACTTCTTACACGCTGGAGGATTACTATAATTCAGGAATCTGGTATTATTGTCCAGAATATCCATGAAATAGCCTTAAGATTTCTACTTATAATCCAGGATTATCCTTATATAGCTATTTATCTGAGTGTCCATGTTTCTGACATGTATGTGTATGACACCTTTTGCTCTGAAATCATGTTGTACGTTCTAGTAGAATATGCTATGTGTAACCGGCTGTGAGGGGCCCTCATCATCACCTCGCTGACTCTCCCAGAGAGCACCTGCCCCACAGTGGGGAGGTACAACTGGGCTTTCTGCAGCAAAGATCTGGTCACCCTCTTGAGTAGCTCAGTTTGATGTACTTAAAGTTTCTGGTGAAGTCATGTTCACCTGGAATTGTTTCAGATTTATTCTGACTGTGGTCCCTGATTTTTTTTTATCAGTTTTCAAATTTTATTACTTTCAGTGCTAGAAAAATTCCTGATTGCTCAATGTACTTTCTAGTTCCCCACCCCCAAATATGC